ATGATCTGCTTGAATATTAAGCATGATTCAGAGAATGAAGCCGACTACTAATTGTGGGATACTGGTGTTTTCCTTAAGCGCATGTAGATAATAATGGAAAATCTAGTGGCTAAACAAAAATAGCAACGATCCTTTGGGAATCATCATGAGAAAACGTATTTGGATCGAATGGGTCTGTGACAAAATGTATGCTCAGGGCCTAAAAGAATCCAGGGTCTTCTATGAGCAAGGGCGCCAATGATTGCTGATAAGCTTATATTTAAAGAAAGATGAGTAATTGAGCCATTGATTGTTGAATAATGTTGAACGGTTGAAGGCGGAGAAAAATGTGAATGTGTGGAGCCAGGTACTATTGTTTAAGTAGCTAAGATAATAGAAATATAATTAAGATTTTTATTTTATTTTTTATGACAATGGAAATAACAATAGACAAGAGTGAACGAAATGCGAATATGGCAAAGATAGTTGCAGAAATAAATAGCAAGATAAGTAAGAAACATGTGTCCATGCATGTGTGCACAATTAGGCATAAAGGAGAAGTAGGCATGCATGTACATGCCCGTGAGTATACAAATCTAAATATATAAGGATGAATGCTTGATAAAGATATAAACAGCTAGTTGATAAATGCAAGCTAACAAGCAGAGATACGACAAAAAAATTTGAAAATTAATAGCTTATGGCAGACATTTTCAGTATTTCGATAGACTGTCAGGTAGGCATTTATTTCTTATTATTAAAGATATGAGAATGTCACCTATCATTAAATTGATATGCTGATACTAAGTATAGATAATATCATCAACACTCATCTGCTAAAATGTCGTTTTCTGATTAACTTAGTATTAACTTGAAAATTAAGGCAAGCCAAGTTTATTATTATCAAAACAAAGCCGATAAGGGAGGAAGAAGTGTGCTCGCCTCACTTGAGTACAGCATAAAACAACAACAATCTCGAAAGTTTTGAAGCCCTTTCTAAAGTATTAGAGGAAGTTGCCAACGCCTTTCAGGAATTTATCGAGCTCGTTATGGCTTCACTTACGGTCCAGCAGCCGAAGGTAAAGCGATTCTGAAGCTCCTACAATCTACCGTGAAGGTGCACAGAACTCGATTCCGGTGGCTAAACGGAACTTGCATTAAGGTTGTTCGATCATATGAATGAAATAAGAGCTTTGAAGACGAGGCTAGTTAGATGAAGGCAGGGCAGGGCAAGGCAGAACAAAACAGAATAGAACACAACACAACAGAGCAGACCAGGACAGGGCAGGGCAGGGCAGAGAGAAGGATTAAGGCAAGCGCAGGGAGAAGTGTTGCTGGAGAAGATTGCAAATGAGGCTGCTTGGAGTTGTCAGTCCACTAAGGCATATACTCTTTCAATTGATTATCCACTTTTACCTATCCATCCATTTGGCCGTACGATTGCTCACTAACGAGTTAGAAACATATAAACTTAAGAGTAATTACATAAACCCGATTTATATATTATTGTAAAATCATTATGACCATGGAAGTGCATGAAAAATTCTAGAGAATACGGGTCATTCGACATCCAGATTTATCCTAGTATCTATCCATCCATCCAGCCAGCCAACCAGCCATCTTTATATATATATATATATATATATATATGGCTTGAAATCCATATTCGCTGGAGCATTCTGTATGTATAGTTTTGTATCGAAATCTGTGGACATCCAAAATAATTAATAGAAAAAAATAATTGGCTTAATTTTCTGTGAATTATCTGCCTAGCTAAAGTAATCTCCTAAATCGCGTTATCCGCCTGCGTGACGCAATCGAAAACTGTTTGTTTTTTACACACCATTTACACACCGATCGATTAGGTTCACATTATCAACAAAATCTGCATTTGTATAGGCTCATACCATTTGGCTTCCAGTATGATTCACTGATTCCCAATTTATACTTATCACAGAAAGCCCATAATATTTAATAGCCACCAATTAGAGTCTATCCTGACTATTTCAAACTTTATGCAGATTCATTGGGAATCAACAAGCACCAGAAATAGCCACATATCCACTTTCCACTCACAATACAGTATTTTGCTTAAAGTCCTTACAACCTTTTAGCCGAAAAAGGCAAGCGTTGCCTAAAATAAGTTATCTGGCAGTCCTTTGTCCTCTGGACAAGCCGTACAGCATTAGCCGCTCCTTTAGAAATTAGACATCCCCACTCTGTGCGTCTTGAAGTCAAGGAGCTTGCACAGACTTTCTAACGGTTGGCGCTTCCCTTCAACAAAAATGTGGGACATAATTGTGACCATCATGTGCCTGCCTTAAGAATCTCGCGTTCAGCCTGAGAAGTGAATGCTACCGCTATCAAGTCTCAGCTCCCTATGGCATTGCAGTGAAGCGGAGCTTGCAATTTTTGAAATACAGTCAGTCGACTTTCAAGTACATACACACACACACACACACAAACACACACATACATATATATATATATGTTGGCGCTACTAGCCCGACTAGGTAAGCAGAAAGAGAAAAAGCCCTAGACATGGGTTGAAGCGGACCTGTAGCATTAATGGTAGAGCAAAACGGGAGTCGGTCGAGCCAGTACGCAAGGCATTACGTATAAACTGCATGAGGCATGGAAACAGTGGTGGTTACCTCGGTGCTTGTCGGTCTGACTACCCTTGTGCCGATGAGAGGGAGAGTTGATGACTCTCATGTAAAGTTGCAATTTGCCTATACAAATAGACAGATCGATAGCCAGACAGGTTTGGGGCGGATAGAACTGACAAATAGATTAGAAAAGGGATAGACGTGCGTGATGCCGGAATGCAGCCAAGCACCGATTATACCCGTTACACTCCTTGTTGGCCTTGCTGTTGGCATGCCTCTGTTATCTTCAAGAGGAACAAGGGTACGATATACATATGCAGACTTGTGTGTGTAATAATATAACTGACTGGTAGAGTGGGTAAAATGTAGTGACACGAGTCCTCGTAAAAGTTTGAAGACATACAGGCATTTTCTATTACCATAATCATGTAGAGGCGAGCAGGAAGGACAGCGAACACTAAGATTGTAGACATACCTGCAGATTGACAAGGGGGCAGACGAAAAGACAGACGAGCCCAGAGGACAAACTGGATATGTACAAATGTCGAGAGTGGATGTGCAGATGGATAGTCAGACACACATAGGCAGGATGGAAACAGGCATATTCAGTACCGAATGGATGGGCG